ATGTCTGACAAAAGATCTGATTTGAGAAATAGTTAAGTCAAACCAAGATTAGAAAGGTCGAAGTCATCTCAGCGATCGGTCTCAAGCTCCAAAACAAGTGCTGAAGCATCCATCCGATTAAACAAGAAAATGGTTAAACCTGACTACAGATGGGTACCAAAAGTTCCCACTCCCAAATCACCTAAAATTTCTAACAACTCTTCATTTTCTGTGTTTGATAAACAGGATAAGACTTGGGAACGCGTATCACGCGTAGATGGCAAAGGTCAACCCAGTTTCAAAATGGATTAGGTTCCCTAAACCAATTAATCCCGCACTCTGTGCCGGAGCAGCTATGGAGGAATATCATCAGACTTCGGCATGTTGATAGTGGCTGTTCCAAGCACATGATAAGAGACATCTCTTATCTGCATGACATTCAGAATTTTAATGGAGAGCATGTGTCCTTTGCGGGAAAGGAAAATGAAAGATCACAAATGGGGATTACATCAATTGCTGAATTATGGTTTGAATTTTCTTGACACTCCTATCTTCTGTGATAATTATGTTGCTATTCACATTTTTAAAAATCCAGTTCAGCATTCTAAAACCAAGCACATAGATATTAAAGTTCATTTTATACAAGATTGTTTTGAGAGTAAACTTGTTCATTTGGAACAAATCCACACTGATAATAATGTGGCCGATTTGTTTCGAAAACCTTTTAGAAAAGCTCGTTTTGATGTGCTTGTGAGTTTTCTTAAAATGATTCATTTTGAAGACTGACAAATTTTTTTTGTACATTTCGTATTTTATTTTTGTTTTCGTTAAATTTGTTCATATTTTTTTTTCTTTCTCCTCTATGAACAAATTTAGGGGGAGAATTAAAACCAAACAAAAATCATAAAATTTCAAAATTCCAAAAATATATTTATTTGTGTTTTTATTTCTTTTTCAGAAAAATCAAAAATCCAAAAATATTGTATTGTTTTTTAGCGTATTTTAATTTTACTTTTATTCTTAGTTATTTTTAGTTTTATTTTTATTTCTAAAATTTCTTTGTCTTAAAACGTGGATATGCAAGGAGAAGAGACGTGAAAAGGAATTGACTGACATTACACTTCACACTACTTTCACAAGGAATTGACGGCTTGCGGATCTAAACTGTTTAAGTTTCTTGATCTCATTGTTACAAATTGCTCTGGATGTCCGATCTTAATTGCCTTGGTTAATCCAACGCAGCCGAAAGGCACACACTCACTCTCGATAAGCGAGAGAAGATGGGAAATTTTTATGTTCAAGTCGGTTTTGGCAGTATCTTCCTAAGAACTGTTATATTTAAGGAATTGAAGACATGAAACTGTACAAATTGTCATGTCATACCCTGTTAAGACAGGTGTCGCCCTTTACAAGCTGACCATGTTCATTCAATGAACAGTGGTTGGGAGTTACGTCTCCATGTCGGTCTTATCAGTTCATGTAACCTAAAAACTGTCATGGCACCAGGGCGATGCACCTCGCAAGGCACGATTATCGCTGAATGTCCCCCCAAGGGCCATGACCTCGTGTCATGCTAAACTCTGGAAATACGTCTTGGGATACATTTGCCGCAGGAATGGTTTTGTGAGTTATTCCTCATTAACTCTCACTGGAACTAGAATGGTACACTCAGCTAAGATTCAGAAACCATTGAACGTCTCGCCAAGGGCCAAGTTAACTTGTTAACTTGAAAAACTGTATTGAGATCTTTGATCGAGGATATGTAGGGACTAATATAAAAAATAGCCACGAATAGTTCTCCGATACTCAACAAATCGCAGTGCGTTCCTCCGTGTTCACACAGATACTGCGAGTAGTCTCCATCTGAGCCAATGTTGGGTCCTTGAACAATTGTGGTGAGAAGGGTCTTTATCACTCTGTGATCCACAGTGACTTTTATTCATGGTTACTTTTCAAGATGCATTTGTGATTGATGAAGAATATTCATTCGAAGGAACAAGAAGTGAAAATTATTTTTCAACACACAACCTTTCAATCCCAGAAGCAAGGTGAAGCTGTATTTGAATTTATGTGACGAATTGCATTGAATCATCCTCAATCAGTTTGCTACTATCTATGAACCTACTGAAGTGATCAAGAAGCATCAAAATCTATGTAATTATCAAGGAAGAAATTTAAAGCTGAACGTGCTGATCTTGAAGAACCAATACAAGAAGCATCTACGCCCAGTGTGTATTAAAAGTCAAATTTTGAAGGAAGTCCAACTACTAAAGATGAAGTTATTCATGTAGAAGATTCATATGTACATCTTGTAGTCAAGTCGTGAAGAGATCGAGGAAAGAGCTGAAAGTCAAGATCAAGGAAGAATGAAAAGAAAAGAAAGCTATAAACCAAGGGGGAGATTGTTAGGACATAAATTTGTGGTTTACACTTTGCTTCTCAAGGCTTTTAGAGTTATCGATTTAGGACCGAAATCTCTATGATCTCGGTGGTACTTGGACCGAAATCACCATGTGATTTCGGTGGGCTTAATGATGTTTTGGGTTGGGTTGGGCTTTAGTAGTTAGGTATTAGTATATAATGTGTTATTTTCAGCCGTGAAGAGAGTTAGTCATTTGGTTTTATCAGAGAGATATTTAGAGAGCATTAACAGCTAGAGAGAAATCGTTTGATCTTATGTACTCGACTATTAATCAATAATAGTGTGCATTGAAGATTCGAGTTTGTGTTCTTGATTCATATTTATTGTTTTGTGTTTATCACTTGATTAGGATTCCACACTAATCTCGTGTTTTAGATTGATACCTAGATCGGAGTTTTACAATTTATATAACGATCAATAAATACATATTGATTTGGTAGTGGTGTTTGTAATTGTGTTTATGTTTTAAGTGCAAGAAATAGCAACATACTTTGGTTTTTTGTCCCTAGTTTATAAATAGCAATGTACTTTGACATCAATAAATGCATGTTGATTTGGTAATTGTGCTTTTGTCCCAAGTGTAAGAAATAGCAATGTACTTTTGGTATTTCTTGTATTTAAGTGCAAGAAATAGCAATGTACTTTGGTAGTTTTTGTTTATGTTTGATAGTTTAACTTATAAGTTTATATATGTTGTTATTTATTATGTAGTTGGAAAATCTCCGGGAAATGCTCAACGACCCGACGTGTAGGGAGGAACTTTATGCGTTTTTTTCAATCGGGGAAAGATCAAGGAGGAAACGACGGGAACGGAGACGATGGTTCGTCAGATATTTAGTTTGTGTTTTGTATGTTAGACTTATCACGACACTTTGGTACTTGTTGGAATTATCAAACCTTGGTTATTTATTCTGGTATAAAATTAATTATAACATTATTTGGTATTAATCGGATGTTATTATATAATTTTTTCTGCATTTAATGTCGTTATGTATCGGTTTGTTTGTACCCAAAATCATTGATTAAAAAAAAATTAAAAAAATGGAAAATGTTATTACCAGCGACACTATTATCGGCGATAGAAGGAATTACGGGTGACAATAGCATTAGAGCCGACATATGTTATTACCGGCGACAAGAGCATTAGCGGCGACATATAGTATTACCGGCAACATTTTGAGCAATACTGACAGAGCAATCGACGACTTTTTACCGACGACTTGTCGCCACTATACCCTTACCGACAACTTTGCTAGCCTTTACCGGTGACTATTGTCGCAGCTAATACTTTTTTTTGTAGTGATAGTTGTGCAAAGGTCATGTTTGGATGCAGTTTGTTTGACTTTGTTTTAGGTAATATGGAATTACATGAACACAACGGTGTTCGAGTCACAGATATAGCAAAAGAAGGCTTTGTTTGATAAAACAGTTTCTAAATTATTTTTTGTTAATATATAGAAATTTAAAAATGAAAGTTAATTAGGTTGTTTTGTTATAGAATCTAATAATGACTATTAATTTTTGTAATGGTTGTTTTCAGTGTTCAGTTTCCTAGGTTATTGCTAGTTTATAAACTTTTGCCGCTTTATTTTGAAAAAAACTACATTAAAAATAATATTTCATGAAAAACTCAGAGGAAAACTCAAAGAGAAACATTTTTAAAAAGTGTAAATGAAAGAAAACATGTTTGAAAACGCTATAAATGCAAAGATAAAAATGCCACATGCGACCACAAAAACCTTTGGAGGTAACGGATTGAGGCTAGCCGATTTGTTCAACAAAGTTTATAAGGCCGGACGGAATGAAAGCGGAAAATGGGAAGCAAACTGCCGGAAAGAGGTGGGGGAGGGGGTGTCGCACTCTCTCTCCTCATTCTATTGGTCAGTTCTTTTTTTTTATCTTTTTTAATATTTATAAAATTATATACCTACTAAAAAAATATATCAAAATTCATGATTTTTAATTCTCTACAAAAAAAGTAAGTATAATATATTTATGAAATATATTTAAAAAAATAATAAAAAAAATAGTGAGTGAGCTTCCCACCAATTCCTTGGGTTTTAGGTAAACAAAAGAAAAAATTAGGTAAAGGATTGTGTGGCCAACAAAAAGTGAAGGAAATATCTCTCCCATACCCTCCAGTTCTGGATTGAATCCCAAATATATACTAAACAGCGGTTTAAAAAAATGGTTACCTTTAAAGTTGCCACATCGGCAGGCTTTCAGAAAAATATAAGATCTTGATTATATAAGATATTTTTGATACATAAAAAATAATATTAAACAAATTGAATTTAATATTCGACAACCCTAGAGCCTAGGGAGCCTTAAAACTATTCATGGTTGCACAACGAAAAAGACTTTCCTCCATATACCGTAAGACACGTGTGGGATCTTTCCACTAATGGTACACCGACTCCAATTTTTCAGACCCTAACAACACAAATCCATTTATAAATATGACTCTTCACATTCTCTTTCTCTTTTATATAAAATATACTCTCTCGTTTGTTCCTTCATCGTCATCCGCAAAACAAACACAATCAACTGCTTTTCTTCAATCTATCTAAATTTCAACTTAAACAAAATGACGAAAGAAATGGCTGGAAAATCCTTCTTTTCGAAGAAAAACAATGTCCGAAAGAAAATCGCCATTCTCCTTCACAGCTCAGAACCAAACGTTTTCATCACCACCCACCAACATCCAGAAAACTCCGAAAACAATTTTAATCACCGCAGTAGCAACGCCTCATTACCTAGCCCAGTAATGTCTTCATGTTCATCACCAGTTCACTTCATGTCTCCAATCAATCAGATGCCATCGCCCTACTCCAAAATCTCCTTGGACACTTCCTCATGGCAGAAATGGCAAAGATGGTATCATCTACAACACTGGCTTGATTGGGTCTTTGATACGTGAAGAAGGTCATATTTATTCATTAGTATCTTCCGGCGATTTGTTGTACACAGGTTCGGATTCTAAGAACATTAGAGTGTGGAAGAATCTGATGGAGTTTTCAGGTTTCAAATCGAGTAGTGGATTAGTGAAAGCGATCGTCGTTTTTGGTAATCGGATATTTACCGGCCACCAGGACGGGAAAATTCGGGTTTGGAAGTATTCAGATAAGAAGAATAAATCTTACAACCGGATCGGTAATTTACCCAGGACAAGAGATTACATCAAGAGCTCCATGAACCCTAATAATTACATTGAAGCAAGACGACATCGTAACGTCCCATGGATCAAGCATTATGATGTCGTTGCTTGCATGTGTATTGATGAAGAAAAAGGGTTATTGTATTCTGGATCATGGGATAGAACAATGAAAGTTTGGAGGATTTCGGATTCGAAATGCTTAGAATCTGTAAACGCTCATCACGACGCCATTAATTCGGTCGTCGTTGGGTTTGACGGTTTGGTTTTTACCGGGTCCGCCGACGGGAAGGTCAAGGTGTGGCGTAGGGAGTTCGTCGGTAAGACCACAAAACACCTTTTGGTTTACACGCTTTTGGATCAGGACAGCGCTGTCACGTCTGTGGTGGTGAACGCCTCTCAGGCCACTGTGTACGCAGGATTCTCCGATGGACTGGTGAACTTTTGGGAACGCAAGAAGCAAACGTTCTCACACGGAGGAGTTCTGAGGGGACACAAGCTGGCAGTGCTTTGTCTGGCCACTGCGGGAAAGCTGTTGTTGAGTGGGTCGGCGGACAACAGCATCTGCGTGTGGCGGAGTGAAGGTAGGGGTATTCATACTTGTTTGTCGGTCTTGAATAGTCACACTGGTCCAGTGAAATGTCTTGCCGTTAAGATCCGGAATGAGAAGGATGATGATCGGAAAGATGAAGAATGGATAGTTTACAGTGGCAGTTTGGATAACTCAGTGAAGCTATGGCGGGTGTCAGAACAGCTAGCCTGAAATATGTCACTATTAAGAGTTAAAACCAATCACTAACTGACACCACGCTCCGCCGTGATGGAAGTAGAGATCCATGATGGGCATGCTAACTACAAGAAATTTCGAGTTTTTATCGACTGAAATGAGGAACATCACTTTGGCATTGGGAAGAAGATTGTAGTAGAAAACGTTTGATCAGATATTTGGTAGTCGATAAATGGTGATGAAGATCGATTACCATTGTGTGTATCTATATCTCTATATGACGCATTGTGTGTATCTTTATCCCATAGATCCAAGATATTGGAGACTGCTTATTAATGATCTACTTCTGTGTTTCTGGATTTTTTTTCTCTCTATCCTCTCATTTCAAAACAATCTAAAATTATTTAGAATTCTCAAAAGCAATATTTTTGAATTAAAAAGTCTCGCTAAATTAACCATCTAAAATTATTATTTTAATTTCAATAACGGAATTTAAAAAAAAAAAAAAAAAAAAAAAAAAAAAAAAAAAAACATAGCATGCATCATTAAACTGTCGTTTTTTAGACATAGAAATGAATAAACTTTGGAGATTAATGCTTGTTTTGATTACCCTACTTATGGTAGTGCTTGAATGCATCATGACGGCAACAAAAGTCTTAGTGGTATAAGGTCCTTTTAGAGGGGTTTATTGTTAAGTATATTCATGGAATTTTTTTTCATGAATATGTCTATTTAGCAAATAAAATATCTATATACTTCTATATTTTTATTATATTTTGTGTGCGACTAGCCATTCGTTCTTGTATTTCATGTAGAGTGCACTATATTAGATGTTTCAATTTCAAGTATTTTGTTATGGTGTTTGCAAAGGGAAAACTAGTTAAATATCAATATAAGTAATTTAACATGTGCTTTAAATGCAACATGCTTAAAATGATATCAAACACATAAGGGGTTTGTCAATGTTTTCATATTTATGCACACAAGTGATATACCGAACAATTTTCTATGCATGCAATAGGTAATCGAGTTTTGACGTTTCACATGCACGTATGTAATTCGATGCTAATTTGTTCAAAATTAACGATGAATCTTGAATCAATGGCTAATATTATTAGAATAATAATGAATCTCTAGTCTTGCTGTACTAGGCATTGCGATAATTACAGGACAAGTTAAAAAGTCAGAAAGTACATTCCATTTAATTTCCAGAACAACTTGTCAATACTACCCACCATTGCAGAATCATCACAGAATATTGCAGAATCATCACAGAATGAAAATAAAAAAGTTTTATGAAACTATTTTTCCTTTTAAAATGAGTTCAACGAGAAGCTTTACATCCTTGAAGAATGATGGTGCTAATTATAGTAATTTCTTGGATACCGTTTATCAAATTGTTTCTGATAAGTATAAAGTTCCGTGAGTTCATGTGATTATGAATCAGATAATGTGAATTTGGTTGATCCATCTCATGGAAAGGACGGAGAAGGGGCCCTCACAACTATTTAGGATGTGTTACTCAACCAACATAACTTGACCAAATTGATTTTGACAAAGTATGTCACTTAGGAAGTCTAGTAGAGATTAAAAAAAAAAAAAAAAAAAAAGGTTCCTTATAGGTTTAATGGCTATGTAATCGAAGAGAAACATAAATTTGGTATTGAGAAATTTGTTGGGTAAGCTAAATTGAATAATGATTCTAAATATTTTGCTTCTTTGTTAAATAAGTCTTTTTGATCCTTCTTCTTATTTTGAAGTCTCAAAAGATCCCAATTGGATAAAAGCCATGAATGAAGAAATAGAGGCTTTTAATAGAAATGGACTTGGGAAATTACTGATTTCCCTTATAGGAGAAAACCCACAAGATGTAAATGAGTTTACAAAATTAATTATGAATCTATTTGTGAAATAGAGCATTATAAGACTAGGTTAGTTGCAAAAGGCTATAATCAACTTGAAGTCCTTGATTTTGATGAAACTTTTGTTGGGTTTTATACACTACAACATTCTATGGTGCACATACAACCCTAAATGTCTTGGATCTGTGTTTTCTCTAATTAATTATACATGCAATATTGTTTCCAAAGCATTAAGGCTACAACTAGTATACAATTGATATAAACAAGACAAAATTGCAAAAATGGTCCCTGTGGTTTGTCAATTTATGTTGGTAAGGTCCAAAAAAAAGTTTATTAGCAAAAAAGGTCCCTAATTGATGGTTTTGTTGTGGTTTTGGTCCTCATCTCGTTAAATTTAACAACTTGGCAGTTAACTTTTGACAAATGATGGATTTACCCCTGGGACTATTTCTGCAGTTTTATCTTTTTACCAAATTATAAGGACCAATTATGCAATTTTTCTTTTTCATTTTTATTGAATTATTAAATAATTGAATTACTTTTTTCTTTTTAACTTTTTTCTTATTGTATTATTTTTTTATTGGATTATTATATATTACTAAATATTATTTTTCATATATTATATTTATTTATTAATAAATATTACTTTTTATTATTAATTTTTTAATTGATTTTTTTCTTTATTGCATTAATTCTTTTTTATTGGATTACTATATATTAACAATTATTATTTTTAGCTTATAATATTTATCTATTAGTAAGTGTTACTTTATTGGATTATTAATTTTTTTTAATTAATTTTTTTTAATTTTTTTATTGCATTAGTTCTTTTTATTGGAATATTAATTTGAATTTATTATTTTTATTTATAATAAATAATATTTTTTAACTGTTTTTTTAATTTCTTTCTTTATTGTTTCAAATAAAAATACCAAAAAATTCCACCCACCCCACATTCTCTAATTTATTTTAAATACTTGGAAGATAACATATTTTGGACAACACCACCACCATCACTCAGTCACAAAAAACCACTATCGGGCCGTCTCCAACCCTGTTACTATATATATAAATATATAATTTTAGTAATTAATAATGAAGTGAGATCATCATGTGTATTTTAGTTTTTGTATATTCACATATATCTAAATTTGTTATATATTTCAATAAACTTATGATTTTGACATATATAATTTCCCTAAAAATATTTCTACATGAATTACCAAATCTGAGTATTCGCTACTCGGCGGTCGGCCGAACGAGTATCGGATAACGAGTTCTACAACTTTTTCACCACTTGCAGTGGCTATGGTGGTTTGAAAACCCTCGATCTAAATTGTCGTCATCGATGGTGGTATCTGTAATGAATGGTTGGTTGGAGGAAGTATGCTTTCTGGGGTTTATTTCACATTGTGTGGGTAGTCAACCGGTGTAGTTTTCGTCGAGAATGGCCGACTGTAGTCGATGATCGATGATTTCCAGCAAGATGATAAGATGACGCAAGGTGGTAAAATGTAATGAATGGAGGAGCTGACCCAAAGTGTTTGGTATTTTTATTTAAGACAATAAAGAAAGAAATTAAAATAAAATAAAAACAATTAAGTAAATATTATTTATTATAAATAAAAATAAAAAATTTAAATTAATAATCCAATAAAAAGAACTAATGCATTAAAAAAATTAAAAAAAATAATTAAATGAAATTAATAATCCAATAAAGTAACACTTACTAATAGATAAATACTATATGCTAAAAATAATATTTGTTAATATATAATAATCCAATAAAAAAGAATTAAAACAATAAAGAAAAAAATTTAAAAATCAATTAAAATAATAATAATAATAATAAAAGTAATATGTATTTATATATAAATATAATATATTAAAATTAATATTTATTAATAGATAATAATCCAATTGATCAAAAGAATTAACAAAATAAAAAAATTTAAAAAAATTAATTAAATGAATTTAATAATCCAAAAAATAACACTTACTAATAGATAAATATTATATGTTAAAAATAATATTTATTAATATATAATAATCCAATAAAAAAGAATTAATGCAATAAATAAGAAATTCAAAAAAAAATTAAAAAATTAATAATAAAAAAGTAATATTTATTAATATATAAATATAATATATTAAAAATAATATTTATTAATATATAATAATCCAACAAAAAAATAATACAATAAGAAAAAAGTTAAAAAGAAAAAAAGTAATTAAAATAATTAATATATAATAATTCAATAAAATGAAAAAGAAAAATTACATAATTGGTCCTTGTTGTTTGGTAAAAAGATAAAACTACAGAAATGGTCTCAGGGGGTAAATCTGTCATTTGCCAAAAGTTAACAGCCATGCTATTAAACTTAACAAGGTTGAGACCAAAACTGCAACAAAACCATCAAATAGGGACCTTTTTTGCTAATAAACTTTTTTTTGGACCATACCCACAAAAATTGACAAACCACAAGGACCATTTTTGCAATTTTGTCTATAAACAACATAAAACACTAGTTAGAAGATTATCTCTTGTTGTAGATTGTAGACATTGGCCTTTAAGAACTTAGTGCCTCAAATGTTGTACCTCAAATGGTTCACAAACACCATGAACAAATGAAGACTTTTGAGAGAGAATATCCTTGCATACAAATCGCCTCATATGAACTCATAAAACATTAGGGTTGTGATTTTAGCTATGGGGTGCTCTATATATATATATATATATATATATAGATATATATATATATATATATATATATATATATATATATATATATATATATATATATATATATATATATATATATATATATATATATATATATATATATATATGTTAGGAATCCAAGAGTCATGGGTAAACCCTAATTCATACTCTTGGGCTTATTATCCATGATCCATGATTCAAGTGGGCTAACTCTTTATAGATTCTTCCATAAACTTAGTCCAACTTGTATCATAAGCCTAAACCACACACACACACACACATAATATATATATATATATATATAGATATATATATAGATATATATATAGATATATATATATATTATATATATATATATATATATAATTTACACAATTACTCCCCATTAATTTAATTAGTCTCTTTTGATCACTAAATTAATTCCAAATTAATTATTGATCAATACTAATTAAATCACATGATTTCATATTAATATATTAGAAATTATAATATATTAATAAATCATAAATAACCTTTTTCTCAAAAGTCCATCCTATCAAATTGTCCTGGTGAAGGCAACCCAAATGGACCATGCTACTCTCGGATCAAGTACATATCAGTTATAGTTATCGGCTTAGACACCTAATCTAACAACTTTTTCACTTATTGTAAAAATAGTAACTATTAGATGTTTGTTAATCTCATAAAGGAAAACTTCAGAGTTTTATCGCGTCTGCTCAACGGATCACTCCACACCAAATTAGTTACCTTCTTTTTCACCGATTTCCCTAAAGAAACTAATGAAGCAATTCTATTGAAGACTTTCTCGAAGCTTAGTAGAATAGTGGATGTCTTCATTGCTAAGAAGAGGAATGTTGCGCAGAAGAGGTTCAGATTCGTTATGTTTTTTGGATTCGATAGCATAAAAATCTTTAAGGCGAAGTTAAACAACATATGGATCAGATGTTTTAAGCTCAGGGTCAATATGGCTATGTACGGTAGGAAAAATGGTCTATTCGAAGAGAAAAGAAAGGATAATAGGAAGCAGCAGAAGCTTAAGAGTGTCATCACAAAACCTAATAGAATAAATAGTGTGATGGTTGGTGCATATTCATAACACGGTAAATCTTATGCATATGTGGTTACGGGTTGTTTTCAGGAGAAATATTAGAAACCAAAAAGAAGGAAGTATGTAACAACAACAGTAAAGAAGATGACATAAATAAGGTCAATGTCACAACGTCAGACAACATGAAAAACTACATTCAGTGCATGTTAATAAGAGAAGTTAGATCATTCGACATGCTTAACAACATCAAAAGATTCAAAGAAATGGAGGCGATTAACGATGTTGAGATCTCTAATATCGGAGGTCTTTTCAAGCAAATTGAGGTGGCCAGTAAGGAACATGTGGTGGAGTTCCTAGGAAAGGCTCACTGTTAAGAGCGTGTCGCAACGCCTAAACAAATAAATAATATAAATAAAAATACTGCTCAACTGCACTAGGGGTAGTACAGGAAAGCAGGGTCGAGTCCACAGGGACACGTCCTAAGGTCTATGCCCCTATTGCATAAGGCACACACTAATTTAACCGTAATTAAAATGAGGGGATTTGACGATTATTAAAACTAAATTAGATAGAAATTTATAAAAGAAAATACTATTAAAATACTTCAATAAAAATCAGAAGGTAAAAACAATTTCATTTTCGCGATGACTCTCCTAATCATGCAAATAACTTTCAACACGATTATTGAATCGTGTACTGTTTAAACTGATACTGATTAATAAGCTCTAACAATTTTCTTTTACTAAAATGTTTAACCAAAACAAGTTCTTTGAATTAAACCTTACTTTTTACTGAATTAACTAAATAAGCTATTAATTAATTAAGAAAAGTATCATTAGACATATTGTAAAATTCCTAGTAAAGTCCAATACTTCTCAAAAGATCAGCAGAGTAAAGACTTGTTTGATTAGTTTATATTAGAGTTAATCCTAACACATAACCAATCTAATATTTGTTACTTTTATTGATTAATAAAGACAATTACGATTATAGACAATATAATTGGAATGATTCAACTGCAACACCCCATTTTTACCGTAGCCATAGATTGTAACTATTATAAAATAAGAAATAAAAAAATATATATTACTTTCGAGCCAAAATCATAACAAAAGTGAGTAGTATGGGTATTCTGTAAATAACAAATTAATTAATAGCTTATTTAGTTAATTCAAACTGTCGTATTCTCGTTGTGATCCAATTCGCCTTGAAAATCATAACAAAAGTGAGTAGTATGGGCATTCTGTAAATAAAATAAGAAATATAAAAATTATATCAATATAAGGGAGATAATAGCTTTTTGTAGGAAAATATCGAGAAAAAAGTGCTAAAAGATGCATTTAAAATGCATATATTAAACCTCCCCAAGCCTGAACCTTACGAGTCCCCGAGTAAGGAAATGATAGGCACCGGAAACAATCGAAAGATAAAAGGGTAATGAAGGGTTAAACTAATCAAAACTAACAACCTAAATTGAGAACTAACTAACTATCAGGAACAAGAAATAAACGAAGAATAAAAATATGCATGCAAGAATGAAAAAAAATTAAATAAAGCAAAGAATAAAATAAACAAACCATTCTTTTTTTTTACTTTTTTTTATATTTTGTTTTCGATCAGACTCTACACCAAGGAAGCTCCAATGAAATCACTACCTAGACGACCATCTCAACACCTTCCATGTATAATAGACTCCTAAAGTTAGGAAGACACGCGACGATGTAATAGAATAAACCAACCATAGTTTTTATTTAAATTTTATACCTTAATTAGTCTTACGAGCGAAAATAACAGATTTCATAATATCATGTCCTCATGACTAGATAGTTAAGAACCAGAATCGACGCATCCTTAAAAATCCGACACGGCCAAATCAGCTTTCGTCGAAGCAGTCAACCCTCCTGTAGGGGTCAGATATCTATGCTTTCACTTTTTCTGAGAACTACAAATATCATATCACACAATTCTTCATTGCGTCATATTTGTCTTCGTTGTGGCTCTTGACTTTATTGAACTTGAATTTTGTATCTGTATCTTGAGCTTCAGATCTTCAATCAACTTTCGCACAGTTTTTTTTTTGTTTGTGTTAGATAAACACTCGGGTACTGGATTTTTCAGTTTGTACCTGCGACGAGCTCGGATATAACAGCCTTGCTTGCTTCTTCATTTCTTTGTTGACTGTGTGGATCTGATATAAGGCTCTATGTTACAGCGAGGGTAACGCGTGTCAATTAAATAGGGCCATGTTTTGTGGGTTCAGACTTGTCGATCAAGGTACTTTTTAAACATTCAAAAGCAAATCATTCTGAAACTATTATTACCTCCCACACAGTGTTTTGGTACACCATTTTTTTTATTTTCTACAATCGGCGTCTCAGATAACGGTGTTTTGCGTCCCCTAGTTATAGAATTTGCTTCTACACTTCCATTATCATTCTTGACGTTTCGGACTTTCATTTCTCATCTTCGTAGAGCTATCAAATGTAAAGAGTATCATCATCTCATATTTATTTATTTATTTATTTTCTTTGAACAAAAGAAAACAGAAAGTCTTTTTGTTTTTTTTTAATGCAAAATGCAGATACAAACATGAAAAAAACAAGACAATAATTTTTTTAAGACAAACTAAAGCAAACAAAATAGAATATTTTTGGGTTTTTGGCTTTTTTTGATTATTTTTTTTATAAAATCTAAGACAATAAATGGAAAATCTTTTTGGATTTTTTTAAATTTTTTTTTGAAAAAAATAAAAAAACTAATGCAGAAAAAAATTTATACAAGAAGTTTATAAATCCCCTCCCCAAGCTTAATATAAAGCATTGTCCTCAATGCTTGGGAAAGAGAAAAAAAGGTCTACTGAGGAGGGGGTGGAGGCGGGTATCGGAGGAAAATCTCCTCGCGAAATGTGGTAAAATCATCTTAAAACATGTGAGGGTGGAATCGACGCACTGGACATCGAGACGAAAGCTAGTGATGTTTGGCTGAATGCCAACGATATTCCGCTGAAGGCTAAGGTAATATCGATAGGTCAAAGGGGTGTTGGGGTCAATATGAGGTGGTGGAGGTGTGTGGGGTGCATCCTGAAAATCAGTAAGCATCGGGTCAGGATGATGGAAACCGTCATCATGGATGGCGTGAATAGGACCAGGCTGTGTGTAATCTGGATCGGTGGTAGATGATGAGGGGACATCAGGATGACGTGAGGAGGGAGGGTGATGGGATTGATGTCGTGGAATATTCTGCTGTTGAGACTCGGGTTCAATAGCATCATATGAAAGATTTGAAGGAAGCACCCATATTACAGAACTGATGGGGTTGGCTAAGGCAATGGTGGAAGGGTTAGTGACCTGGAGATATCGCTTGTACCCACACATCTATACATGGCCCATTGAGGTTGGTCGATACATATGCATATACTCAAGAGTATGCGGGGAAAGGCACGTATCAACTGTAAAGAACTGGTAATTCACGGGAACATCGTTGCTAACAACATCAACGATTAGGAGCGCTAAGCAATCACAACAAATATTACTAGATAGTAAATAAGAGACTTTCAGGAGTCTCTTGAATACCCAATGACCGATATGCAGGTGATGTGTTCCCCTCACCATGCACCATACTATTTCGAGTTCTGCTTTTCCAGCTTTAGTAGTTTCGACTTGAGCAAAATTGATTTTACAGATAATTTTCAGACCAATTTTCAGTACCGGATAAATAATATCGGTCTGGAGTGAGTTGGACGTTCTATAAGAGTTCATACCAATAATTGAGGTCTAGAATGTTGTTTCATTAAAAATACGAGAACACGGGGCACGATATGTGTCTTGAGTGGGTACCTGGACAAGGTGACAAAGTTGGTCATCGTGAAGGTTGTAGGGGTTGTCGAAACAACGAAATACGAAGTTACCCTCTTCATTAACGTCATTGAGGGTGGAAAGGAATTCTTTGGTCAATAGAGGTGATGTGGGTAGTCAATTGTCAAAAGACCATCCTAGCCAATATTGGCGAAGAGTGAACAAACCCCATCATAACCTTTCAAAATCTGAAGAACAGTTCTAGTGGGAGCAAAAATCTGCGGGGAAACTTGTCTGGTACTAAGCACTTGGTAATGGTTAACAACAGTCTGGGACCTTAGATCAAGTACCAGATCATTAAAGTGAATGGTATAAGGCTGGTCTGGGTCGTCAACATTTCGGCGGTGATGCTGGGTTCGGGGAGGTATGCTTCGGTTTCTGGTAAAACCTCACGACTGGTTTGGCACGAGAAAAAATAGAAAAAATATAGACAAATAAAATCTAGCTATCCCAAGCGGATACGTAAGCCCACACATATATATCTGACAAAAATAAAAAGGTTCAGTTTCAGAACAAATATACCAGACTGCACGCTGAGCAGCAATGTATATTTCGCGTATGAATTTTTTTTTATTTTTGAAGTTTTGCTCCGGTGAACATATTCAGTTTGATGAGTAGAAGAAACACTCCAAGTATCACGTCCTGATCTGCTCCAACAAATTGTAGATTTGATAAAGAAGTTCAAATTTTTTCAAAAATTTGAAAGAGGAACTCGAATTCTGGTCATTTTTGGACCTTTTGATGTTGTTTCTAGTAGCATAGGAGTGTAGAGGAAGTAAGATGGACGAGGTCGATACCTTCCACACTTAATTCCAACAATAAACAAAGTTTTTGTTGTATTTCTGGTGGGATTTTAGAATTTCAGAGTGAAAGTGCAGGGAGAATGAGAGGGTTCTGAAAGTGTGGGAGTGAGAAATGGGCAGTAGCTCCTATTTATAGCATTCAAAAACTCAATCTCATTTTTCAAAGATGATCACATTTTTCAAAAAATATTATTTTATAGCAATAAATATCGAAATCTTCACTCGATCGCATTTTAAGAAAATTCACGATCATATTTTTCAATTTCTGCGATCACATTATTTTTTTGACAAAACTTCAAAAATGGCCCCTGTGGTTTTCGAAAATCTGAAGTTTAGTCCTTAATCTTTAAAAACCTCACAGATGGTGCATGTGGTTTCAAAACTTTTAATGTTTAGTCCTTCCGCCTAACTCCGTCAGTTTTCTACCGTTAAATGAGGGGTATTTTCGTCATTTCAACACCCAGGGACCATTTATGAGGTTTTCTCTATTTAAGAATAATAATAATAATAATAATAATAAAAAAATATAAATATTTAATGTAAAAGGGTCTCTCTCTCTCTCTCTCGTTTAATCAAACAACTACTGTTTTGATCTTGACCACCTGTATATTGGACCTCTGTACTTTGTTCTCCACTGTCTTTTTCGACACTAGAAAGAGGCAAGAACATTTGAAACACGAACATAAAGAAGATGAACACAGCCACATCACAAATCCATTGCAAGTAATTCAGCTTCTTTAAAATCATAAATCTTGCAAATTTCGATATGGGTCTCTGCGCAAATGAATTGTTTCTCTCGTTTCTAGATGAAGATTTGAGTAACGGATCCCTCTGTACTTTTTTTTGCTTTTGGTGAAGATGGGATATAATCATCATAGAGAACCCAATAACGAAAAAGCTTTACATATTGTAATCAAGATTTCTTGAAAAAAAGGGTAAAGACAAAAAGGGATGCTTTTTTGCTTTGTTCTTGAGGTGTTTTGGCTGAAAGCTTCGACCTGTTGTGGTGGTCGGAGGTTGCTCTGGCAGCCTTCGGCCTCGTTTTTGGCTAGGTTCTGGTCGAAATCAACAGAGAAAACGAATGGGAGTGGTGTTTGGTGGTGATTTTCAGTCGAGAGGAAGGGGTATAAGGTGGTGGTCGGAAAACTCACATCTGCAGCAAATATGATGTCAGCGGATGGCGGAGCTGCGAGTGGCGGTGATGGGTGGCGTGATGTGGCAGCTCCGCTGCCTCTCCATTGTGTTCTATCAGCGTGAACTCAGAGAGAGTGGGGCAAGGAAGATGGCAGGTGGTGATGAAGGTTTCTCAGTGGTGTTGGAGGTTTGGGTTGTCCTCGGGAAGGAAGAAGTTAGAGGGAGGGAGAGTGGTGGTGGTGTTGTTTATGCTCGAGTTGGTACCACCAAGATGAAGAAGAGAAGGCTTGGCCTTTGGCTGGTCAACAAGTAAAAGGGTGAAGGCACAGGAGTCTCCACCACTATCAATCCATATTTCTTCGGTACGACCTAAGTTCGACCTAACTTCACGTGATAAACCACCTTAAGGAAGTCAGATCTGAGTTTGGGACGGAGTCTTAATCGATTAAGATCTAGAAAAGGAATGCTGGCCAAACATGGGAGTACGATGGGGCGTACAAGCTGAGTACGCCCCGCATACTCAGCAGTGGGCTTCGGTGATGTTGGGTTCTTGGTATTGGGCCATGTTAGGCTTTGGGTTTTCTTGGTCCTTGTTGGGTCATCAAAATTCTATTTTTGGGTTGTTGGTATGTTAGTGGACTTTTGGTCGAACGCCCATGAAAGAGATTTGGGCCCAATTTGGAAAATTGGGCCATAATTGGGTTTGAAGTGATTATTTTGGAATTTGGGCTTTTAGACATTTGTTTTGGGCCTAGGCTTCTGGCCAAGATGGGTAAAGGGTAAAAAGGTCTTTTACCCTAGTTTAGACTTTTAGTATGAGTTGGGATTCAATTATGAATTGGATGTTGTTTGTGATTGATAGCGCGGGGTTTTTAACCGGCAAGCAGCCAGAGACTTATCTGTGAGATTCAACAGTGTAAGGTGAGTTTCCTCACCATGTTTAGCGATTCGAAGGCACCAATGCCTGGACCATGATTTTGTTATGTTAGGATGCTAGATGTTTGCGTGACTCTTGCATGTGTTATGTACTCGTATGCTTACCGGGCGGGATGCCGATAACCATTTTGTATGCTATGTATCTTCATGATTATTGCATGTGTTATGTGTTTATATATTTACATGTTTATATGTATTTCGGGCGGGGCCCGATGACTGACAGATCTTTATACCGAGTGGGGCCCATTATATGTTTATTTATGTATATATAGTATGTGATTTTTTGGGAAATCATTAAGCTTTGTTCTTACGGTTTTCAGTTTATATTTCAGGTACTTCTGGTTCCAAAGGGAAAAGCTCGGGGTGATTGCAGAGCACACACCACTCAATTTTGCATATTGTGTTTTACTCTGATGATTGTTGATGTATTGATACAATCTGTTTACCTTGGTTCTATGAAAATGTTATGGTTTCCTATTTTATTAATCTAAAAATGAAAAAATTTCGGGTCTTATTTTTGGGATGTTACATGGGGAAAAACGACAAACATGAGTGGATCAAATAGATGGTGCTGAAAAATCGTGTGAATGTTTTGTGTGTATAGGAATCTAGAGTTGGTAACTTGAAAGAGAGATTTGTTCATTCATGTTACAGTAATAGGGGATTTAATTACATCACCTATGATGTTGTTGGCAATTTTGGCGATCTGGTCACTATTTGGGACCCAAATTGTTTCGAGTTGGAGGATGTAAAGAAAATAGGAATTATATTGTTGTTATGGGAACATGGAAAACGAGTAAAGAAAAACATGTTTTCGTGAATATCTACGTCCCATATGATCTCTATCACAAAGCCAAGTTGTGGAACAATACTCGTGAATTGATTTCTTATGATTCTGAAAGAGCGTGGCTAGTGTGTGGGGACTTCAACGAAGTCAGAAATTATGATGAAAAGAAAGGTTATACCTTTAACGCCAGAGGGTCGCTTCTTTTTAAGAGTTTCATTGATTTCACTGTCCTGGTCAACCTCAAGATTGTGGGAAGAGATACACATGGATGAGTCCGGATGGTTCAAACTTTAGCAAGTTAGAAAATTTTCTCTTGTTTGTTAATTTCTTGAGTCTTTGGCCCAACTCGAATGTCATTACCATGACTAAGCTTTATTCAGACCACTTTCCTTTGCTTTTGAACACAAAAAAAACCATGATTACGGACCTATTCGATTTAGATTCTTTAAATCATGGATTTTCTGAGAGTGATCTTGAATATTTGGTCAGAAACGAATGGTTGAAACCTTTGGATGGCGAGGACAATCTTTGTGGAACTGAAATTTTGTGCAGGAAATTAAGGCGTATTAATGTTGCGATCAAGATCTTGAAGAGCAAAAAAATGTAGAAAAAAGAAGCAATAATGAAAGTCATAAAACCAAGATTGCTTAAATCAATACTTTTTCTATATTAACATAGGAGGATGACGAGCTGCTTGCTGAAAGGGAGAACAACTTAATTCAATTACCATAATATTTTGTTGCCCACATTCTCGATCTCAAACAGAAATCACGGTGTCGATGGATATTAGAGAGAAACAAAGATTCAATTTTTTCATGGGATCCTTAACTCCAACTTAAGGAACTCCACAATAAATGGAATTAATATCAATGGTTCATGATGCAGGGGCATCCACGTCATTTTCAGCTAATTCTAGAGCAGTCTATTTCATGTATCCAACTCACCTTGGGCTTGAATCATATTCTTATGTTGGGTTCAAAACAGTTAAAGGGAGACGTATAATTTTCTTACAGCCCAATAAACTTGAAGAGTCTTCCTAATAAGCCTCATTAATGTTCTTAATGCTTCTTTATTTGTCATTTAATTGCCTTCCCACTTTTAATCTTTCCTTAGACTATTCATTTTCCTAAAGTTATATTTCTTTTAGTTTTCCAACCCTATATAAAGAGTTCTAAGTTGTAGCAGGAAAACATCTTTTGAATAATAAAAAAATTGCAATAGCTTGTGAGGCTGATTTTGAATGTTCATTCACAAAATGAGTTGATTCTTGATTGTTGTTAGTGTGGTGCTGTTTCTTTATCACTAATTAACATCAACCATTGCCAATTTGGTTAATCTTGATGGTGTTTAAGTACTCTATCCTTGATCTAATTATGTTTCTTGTCCTATCCCTATTCTTTTATCCAATTCTCACCCACTTACGCATGAAAGAGTATCAGAGCAAACCCATGTTACCCTCGGTTGCGTTCTTATCACTTTACTGGTTTCTCTCCTCCTAAACATCATTGCATTTCCTCATGGTATGAGTCCAAAATAAGCTAAGAATATCAGACACGATAAACAGAATGAAGAACTCTAAGGAACTACCGATAACTTAACAGCTTGCATTACTGCTGGATGAAAAACCCTAGAAGGTCAATTGGAAGCATCAAAATGATTTTGCTATTGGTGATTCAATCGGCCTTAATGATTCTAGTTCGGATGAATATTGTCAAACTTCCATTCATAGAAGAAGGTTTAGAGATGATCTTAGAGATTTCAAAGCAGATGCTCCGGAGTTCCATGGATGATCAAACTCAAATGATTTTGTTGAATGGATGAATGATATTAAGAACCTTTTCAATGTCAAGCGGTATTTTGATGAAAAAAATTACAAAGTTGTCGTTTTGAAATTTAAGAAGTATGCCTCATTATGGTGGGATAATTTCAAAGTTAAACGAGAACAAAGTTGCAAGTCTAACATCTGGTCTTGGAGAAAGCTTAAGAAACTACTCAAGGGGAGATTCCTTCCAAATTGTTACAAGCAAGATCTCTACGTCAAGATGACCAACTTCAAACAAGGTAATCTAAGCATTGATGATTACACTCGTGAGTTTGAACAACTCATGTCAAGGAGTGGAATCCATGAGAAACCATAACAAACTATGATTCATTGTGTGTGGAGGACTAAACCATGATATTGCTGAAAACTTGAATTGCAACCTTTCTGGTCCTTTGAGGAGGTTTGTAAGTTAGCTTCTAAGATTGAGAAGCATGCCAAGAATAAGAAGATAGAAAGGGAAGCCACCAAGTCATTTCCAAAGTATAACAATTCTTTCAAGAATCCTTTCTACAAAGAAAAACTTTCAAAAGGTGAAAGCTTAAAGCAAGAAAAGAGTAAAGGTCGTGCTAATGCGCTGAAGAAGAAGTGCATCAAATGTCAGGGTTTAGGACACTTTCAAGCTGAATGTCCTAATCGAAGAGTCATAACATTGAAATAGGTTAAAGAGGTTAACAATATCTAATATGGAGAAGATGAAATGCCAATCTATGATGAGGAATGTTACTTTGAAGAGACTGTTAAACCTGATCAAGGGGAGATTCTAGTGATACAAAGAGCTCTCCATGAAAAAGATGTGGATCCTAATTATGAACAAAGAGAGAAAATATTCTATTCAAGGTGCATGATAAAGGGGAAGGTATGCTGCCTTATTATTGATAGTGGTAGTTCTACTAATGTTGCATCCATAACTCTTATCAATAAACTCAATATTCCAACCTCATCTCACCTAAATCCATACAAGCTTCAATGGTAAAATTAGGGATCTAACGTGATGGAAACCAAACAGGTTGTACTCCATTATTCTATTGGTAAGTCATATCAATATTAGATTCTTTGTGATGTTATACCTACGGATGCATGCCATATGTTGCTTGGAAGACCTTGGCAATATGATAGACATGTTTGGAATGGTGGTCATCAAAACACCTACTCTTTTGTCATGAATAAGAAAAGGTAATCCTCAAACCTCTACCATCTACCTTGCTGCAAAAGAAAGAACCGGGGTTGGTAACTCTGGTGGAGAAGAATTTATTTATCAATGAAGCACTAATGGAGAGAGCTATTTCCAAAGGTAAACATGTTTATGTTTTGTTGCCAGTTGAAAATAGGTTTGATGATGTTCCTTTGCCTGCTGCTGTCTATCTGCTTCTGGAAGAGTTCAAAGATGTTTTTCCTTCTGATTTACATCAAGAATTAGCCCCACTAAGAGGTCTTAAGCATCAGATCGACCTAATCCCAGAAACACCACTTCCTAACAAACAATCTTACCGATGTGACCCTGAAAAGACTCGAGAACTACAAAGTCAAGTCCACGAACTTATTAACCGTGGTTACATGCTTGAAAGTATGAGTCTTTTTTCTATCCTAGCTTTTCTCGTTCCAAAAAAAAAAGATAGGTCCATGAGAATGTGTGCTGATAGTAGAGCCATTAATAACATCACAGTCAAATATCTCAACCGTATTACAAGATTAGATGATATGCTAGACATGGCGCCAGTTTGTTCTCAAAAATTGATCTTCATAGTGGATATCACTAGATCCAAATGTG